TTCAAGCAATTCTTCTGCCTCAGCCTCCCAAGTAGCTGGGATTACAGGTGCCCACAACTATGTCGAGCTAATTTTTGTATTTTGAGTGGAGACAGGGTTTCACTGTGTTGGCCAGTTTGGTCTCGAATTCCTGACTTCGTGATCTGCCCGCCTTGGCCTCCCAAAACGCTGGGATTAGAAGCATGAACCACCACGCCTGGCCTGGCTTCTAGGTTTGTTGCTAGCTGTGTGACCTTGGGAAAGCTTAAACTTCAGCTTCTCATCTGCAGAATGAGACGGATAACAGGACAGTCTGGAGCTACGCATTCTAGGCTCAGTGGAGATATCAGCTGGTCATTTTATTCCATGTATTCTCTGCCTTTCTTGTTCCCAGACATCTGCCATAGGACCTCCCCCGATAGTCCAGAGTTGAAGTCTTCATGGCTTTTGTTTTTATTTGAAGTGCCCCCCTCCTCTTTCCATTGAGGGTAGTGGAGTCTGTCCCTTTATTAAGGTCACCTGAGTTCCTTTTTTAGCTGTGCTTGATTGACTTGCAGCATCACTATTTAGTCTTTAATTACCCTTAGATTTTTACTGTGTATTTGGATTGATGTTTCAACTACATGCCTCTTCTGGAGCACTCTTCCTCAGGCTTTTTGAGCTGCCAGCTATCAGAGTTCTTGGCTAGCTGCAACCTCTGTGTTCCCCATCGGACGAGTCTCTTCACAATGATGTCTCAGCACTACTTCTGCTTATGTGAAGGATGATGTGCATTCTCTCTGTTCACAGGCTCTGTCCAGCAGTGTCAGCTCCAGCAAGCTATTCTCCAGCAGTACAGCTCCTCATGAGACCTCCTTTGGAGAAGAGGTGGAGGTGCACAACCTACTTATCATTGACCAACACACCTTTGAAGGTGCACATGAGCTCTTTTGATCATTTTTATCTATGTCCTCTCTAATCCAGGCTCTTCTGGGCTCTTGCACAGTCCAAAGCCTGACAGATTGTGGCAGACCATCCTAGGAGGAGCAGAAAGGAGGGACGGGAACTCTTGTGAGATGGCAGTGAGTCTGGAGGGCTGGACATCCTCTCCTCAGCTTAGCTGGTAGGGGATGGATAATCTGATGAGACAGGGACAGCAGGTGGCACAGGCTTTGTCACTGCCTAAGCTGTAGGCCTTACAGAAATATGGGGTTAGGTGTGTGTGCAGATGTGGGCAACTTATCATCACATAGTTCTGTCTCTACTCCATTTAGTGCTTCATGCTCACCAGTTTCTGCAGAATGAATATGCCCTCAGCCTGGTCTCTTGCAAACTGGGCAAAGACCCCAACACTTACTTCATTGTGGGCACAGCAATGGTGTATCCTGAAGAGGCAGAGCCCAAGCAGGGTCGCATTGTGGTCTTTCAGTATTCGGATGGTAAGTGGGCACAGCCTTCGGTTTCTGAGGGATGTGAAATGCTGAGAAAGTCAGCAGGCCATTGTGAGGTTTTAGAGAGCCTCAGTTAAGCAGTAGAAGAACTTGGGTTTATTGCTGTAGAAAGCTGTTCTCTTCTTTATCTGATTGAATTTTGGAGCATGTGAACAGTACACAGTAAAATTTAGCTTATGTTTCTTTTTTTGCTATTCTTGGAAAGGCTGATAAAAAAAGGAGGGATGGGAGAAGTGAACGCTGGGTAAGGGGATCTAGTGACAACCGGCATGAAAATTAAGAATCCTAGATTTGTTTTCCACTTGGTTGCTCAGGCATTTAGGTGCTCTTTCCAGCTTCAGCACTGTGTTTACTTTTTAATATCTTTTCTCATTCCTCCCACCCAAGATGGCTCTAAAGACTATGAGCCTGGAAATCTCAGATCAGACGGCTGAAATGGGATTTGGTTTCCATCTTGAGAGACAGATCTAGAGTTTCAAGATGAGGGGTAGATCCTAGATACCAACTGGATTTCTCTGCACATTATCTTAGGGCTCATACTTTAGGTGGTGGTTAACCCCACTTAGATACTGAGTCTGATTTTTTTTTTTAGATGAGTAGTTTTAGGGGGCAGGAATTAGTACCAGAGGGGCAACCAGAGGATTCTTTTGACGAGGTAAAGTATGGACTCATAGATAAGAGACTCAAGCATATCTTTCTGCCCCCAGGAAAACTACAGACTGTGGCTGAAAAGGAAGTGAAAGGGGCCGTGTACTCTATGGTGGAATTTAACGGGAAGCTGTTAGCCAGCATCAATAGCACGGTGAGGCCTAGACCACTTGGTACTTACTTTAGGCTGCCCATCATTGTTTGCAGAATGTGTCAACCTCTGTCATGTCTGGGACCGCATGTTCGTCAGATTTTGAGGGTAACAAAGTAGTGGGTGTGGAGGATAGAGCCCTAAGTTGGGAATCTGGGAAACTGAGGTTGAACCAGGCATTGGACAAGGTTACATGGAACCCCATGTGTTTCAGATCCTGAGTGCTGTGGGACTTGAGAAACAAATCAGAGCTCTGGGCCCTGCGCGTAGGGTGTTCCATGCCAAGAGAAAGAAAGCCAAATCAGAATATCCTAAGTACATCCCTGAAAGATAGTCCTTTGAAATATTCCACTGTTTCTGCCATGACCCTACCTCCTCCCTTGCTAAAAAGTTTTTTTTCCGGTCTTTATTGAGGTATAATTGACAAAAATTTTGTATATCGAAAATGTACAACTTGATTTTTTGGGGGTAGTTGGGAGATAGCAGTAAACAAAATGGACAGTGAGCTGCCCTTTTGGAGTTTATGAGCAAATAAAGTACATAGTATGTGAAGTGGTGAGAAATAAAAGGGGCACAAGGCTGGAGGAATGCCAGGAAGAACATAGCAGTAGAGTTTGCTATTTCATATCACATGGTCAGGAGGGTCATGTGGGTACACAGTGGCATTTAGGTATATTCCAAAATGAAGGGAGGTAAGAACCCTACCTGTGCTTGGGGAAGACAAATGCAGTGGGTGGGAGGCCAGAGGTGAGAGTGGGTAGACCTGATGTCTGCAGGGACTGAGCTGATGGTCTGGTGGGAGTCGAGTCCAGTGGACAACCAGGGGCCAGAATGTTCAGAGCCTGGTAGGCCATGTCAGGGTTTTATGTAGAGCATGATGGAAACCTCTGGAAGGTTTGAGCAAGGGTTTGAGTCAGTTAGGGGAGGCTCTTAGTAACCCAGGTGCAGTGGGTGGTTGCTGGGACCAGGCAGTGATAGAGGAGAGGAAGAAGAGTAGTCATATTTTGCTTACATTATGAGGGTAGGATTGAAGGACTTTGGTGATAGATTGAAAATGAGATGTGAGAGACAGAGGAATAAAAGGTCAGGGGGTTTGGCTTTGCCATTTACTGATGGGAGAGATAATGGGTGCAGCAGGTTTGGAGTAGAAGCCAGAGGTTTGTTCTGGATATACTCAGTTTCAGTAGTTATCTAAGTGGAGATGTTCACTAGGTAACAATGAGAGAGTTATAGAATCCAGGGAAGAGATTGGCTGGAGATGCTAGCATGGCAGTTAAAGCTAAAAATCTGGGTGACCTCACCTAGGACCACCCATCTGCTGAGAGCCCATTGAGAAGGGATTTGAAGACAGCCCTGGAGCTGTCCAGCATTTCAAAGATAGGGTGAAGATCCAGCCAAACAAAAAGGGTGACTTGTGAAGTAGGAGGAGAACTGAGAGAGTAGTGTTTTGGAATTCATAGAGAAAAAGTATTTGAAGCAGGAGGGAATTGGTAAACTGTAAGTGTTGCCAGTAGGTCAGGTAACATAAACACTTGGTCATTGGTTTAATAACATGGAAGTTGGTGGTAAACTTGATCAGAGCTCTTGGTTGAGTGATGGGGCTGGAAACCTGATTGCAGTTGGCTCAACTGAGACTAGGAGGAAAGGAAGCTGGTACAGAAAACCCCTCAGGGCGTTTTGTAGTAAAGGAGAGAATGATGGGTACAGTGAAATTGCAGGATAAGGATTTTCTCTTTTTAATTTTTCAAGCTGGGAAATACTGCTGCATGTTTTCTGTGCTCATGGGACTGATGTTAAAAAGAGAATTGCTGCTGGGCGCGGTGGCTCACGCCTGTAATCCCAGCACTTTGGGAGGCCGAGGCGGGTGGATCACGAGGTCAAGAGATCGAGACCATCCTGGTCAACATGGTAAAACCCTGCCTCTACTAAAAATACAAAAAATTAGCTGGGCATGGTGGCGCGTGCCTGTAATCCCAGCTACTCAGGAGGTTGAGGCACTAGAATTGCCTGAACCCAGGAGGCGGAGGTTGCGGTGAGCCGAGATCGCACCATTGCACTCCAGCCTGGGTAAGAAGAGCGAAACGCTGTCTCAAAAAAAAAAAAAAAAAAGTGAATTGCTTGGAGAGCCATTGTTCTTGGCCAGGTAGAAAGGAGGTGGTATCTCCCAGTGGCAGAGAAGGGAACAGACGTGAAAGTTCATGGAAATGCCATTTTGGCTGTATCCCTGTTTTCTGTGAAATTTCTGAGAGAGAAGATGGGAAGAAGATATTGGCAATTTGAGTAGAGTGGAAAAAGGATGAATTCATTGTTTTAGGACCAAAAGCCTGAGTGGAATAGGAAAACGCATGATTCCTGAGTGATTTAAGAACCCCCTTTCAGTTAGTAGTCTTGAATTTAAAACAACAGTCATCCTGTTAGTTGGTTTTCCTTACCGGTAGCGGAAGATGTAAATTTAATCCAAGTCAAGTTTTGTTGGGTGAGCATGAGAAAGGGGAGAAGGGTCAGGGCATTGAGAATCTGCAAGACAGTGATTATGTGATTATGGTGGTGGACTCTGGACACCTGAGAAGAGGCAGAGCAGAGGACGTGAGATTCAGGAAGAGTGCAGTTACTTGTAATGCCAGCCTTTAACAGATGGTCATAAGAATGGACAAAGTAAGTGGGAAAGAAGGGGTCAGAAAAGCTAAGAGGTGAGGGTCCTAAAAGGACCTTTTCCGTGAGTATTATAGTTATCAAGACTTATAAGAGGTTATGTGGGAGAGTGTGATGGGTGGGATGGGAATTCAGGTGACTGCTTTGATGGATGATGGTGGTTGTGTGTCCTGGTGGTGTGAGCTTCAAAACTGTGGTGTTTTGGGGGAGGGAGTGGCAAGTCTGAAAGAGCAGAGGAGGAGTGTGGGAGACTGCTCTCTCCTGTTCCAGTGCTAGGAGAGACAGTGGAAGAGAAAACAGACAAGAGGGCCACAGGACCCTTATGAAAGAGCTACGGATGTCAGTTAGAATGAGAAGGTGAAGGGTTTGCCCAGAGAAGAGGCTGCCCATGATTAATGACTGTGTTCCAGAGGGTGCAGTGAGTAGGCACAGGGATCAGGAGGGTGGAGGGTAGCATTTGATGTCAGGTAAGGACATATCTATTGTGTTGCTGGCCAATAGAAATATGAGTGATGTATGTCATTGTAAATTTCTAGTAGCCACACATGCAAAAAGGAGCAGGTGAGATGAATAAGGTTTTTTTTTTTTAATATCTAAAGTATTAGCATTTCCACATGTAATCAGTATAAAAAACATTATTAAGATGTTTTACATTTTTTCATACTGATATTTGTTGTATATTTTACGCTCAGAACACATCTTAACTTTGACTAGGCACATTTCAAGTGTTTCACAGCCAGGTGTGGCTAGTGACTACTGTATTGGACAGTGGAAGTCTATAAGCTTTTGGGAAGAGAATTGGAGTCTTGAGCTTTTGGTGGTGTCTGGCCTTGGGCTTGACTCTCTCCAAGGTGACGGGAAGGTTGAGAGCATGGAGACAGAGTGGAACATGTGAAGCTCTGAGGCACTCCTTCTGGTGTGGAGGCCCAGCAAGGTGGGCTTACCTGAAGATGGGGTACTCTGGAAGTACCTTTTACCCTGTGATAGAGGTGTGGTAACCATTGTAATTATTTATTTTTTTCTTTTCTTTTTGGGCTGGAGTGCAGTAGTGCGATCTTGGTGCACTGCATCCTCCGCCTCCCGGGTTCAAGTGATTTTCCTGCCTCAGCCTCCTGAGTAGCTGAGATTACAGGCGTCCGCCATCATGCCCAGCTAATTTTTTGCATTTTTAGTAGAGATGGGGTTTCACCATGTTGACCAGGCTGGTCTCCAACTCCTGACCTCATGATTCGCCTACCTCGGCCTCCCAAAGTGCTGGGATTACAGGTGAGAGCCACCATGCCCAGCCTGTTTTTTTTTCTTTTTGAGACAGAGTCTTGCTCTGTGGCCAGGCTGGAGTGCAGTGGCTCCATCTTGGCTCACTGCAACCTCTGACTCCCTGGTTCAAGCGATTCTCCTGCCTCAGCCCTCTGAGTAGCTGGGATTACAGGCATGTGCCATATGCCCAGCCAATCTCATGTTGGTCAGGCTGGTCTTAAACTCCTGACCTCAGATGATCCACCTGCCTTGGCCTCCCAAAGTGCTGGGATTACAGGCGTGAGTCACTGTACCCGGCCAAACATTGTAATGACTACAAATGGCTTTTGGAATATATTCCTGTGTAGCTAGGGTTCTTTGGACGCATTTTGAGAAATCGTGGCTTAATTAATATGTTCTGCCCAGGAGTTCTAGCTATGCAGAGGCCATGGGGATTATCTGGATCCTGAAGGATCTACCAGGGAAGGCTTATCAGCTCAGACAGGTTAAGTTTGTCTTCTTTAGCTCTGGGCTGTGCCAAGTTTCTCTCCATTTGTCTACTGATAATAAAGCACCTTCATTCTTTTTTTTTTTTTTTTTTTTGAGTTGGAGTTTTGCTCTTGTTGCTCAGGCTGGAATGCAGTGATGTAATCTCAGCTAACTTCAACCTCCACCTCCCGGGTTCAAACGATTCTTTCTAGTAGCTGGGATTACAGGAGGATGCCATGATGCCCAGCTAATTTTTGTGTTTTTTTATTTTATTATTATTATTATTTTTTTTGAGATGGAGTTTCACTCTTGTTACCCAGGCTGGAGTGCAATGGCGTGATCTCAGCTCACCGCAATCTCCGCCTCCTGGGTTCAGGCAATTCTCGTGCCTCAACCTCCTGAGTAGCTGGGATTACAGGCACGCGCCACCATGCCCAGCTAATTTTTTGTATTTTTAGTAGAGGCGGGGTTTCACCATGTTGACCAGGATGGTCTCGATCTCTTGACCTCGTGATCCACCTGCCTCGGCCTCCCAAAGTGCTGGGATTACAGGCTTGAGCCACCGCGCCCGGCTAATTTTTGTGTTTTTATGGAGACGGGGTTTTGCCATGTTGGTCAAGGCTGGTTTCGAACTCCTGACCTCAGGTGATCCACCTGCCTTGGCCTCCCAAAGTGTTGGGATTACAGGCATGAGCCTCACGCCACCTCGCCCAGCAGCATCTTCATTCTTTTGGAGATGTGGTTGTAATTGAAAGCGCTATGCTGGAGACAGAAGAAAGCAGAGTTTCTTTTTCCCTCCTGGGGGTTGTTAGAGGGTGGCCACAGAATCAGGTTCTTTAGGTTCCTTTAGTTATTTGACAGTGTTTCTGTTGGGCTTTTCTTTTCTTTTTTTGAGACAGAGCCTCATTGTGTCACCCAGGCTGGGATGCAGTGGCATGATCTTGGCTCACTCTAACTTTTGCCTCCTAGGTTCTTGAAATTCTTGTGCCTCAGCCTCCTGAGTAGCTGGGATTACAAGTATGGGCCACCAAACCTGGCTAATTTTTGTATTTTTAGTAGAGATGGGGTTTTGCCATGTTGGTCAGGCTTGTCTGGAGCTCCTGGCCTCCAGTGATCCACCTGCCTTGACCTACCAAAGTGTTGGGATAACAGGCGTGAGCTACCACACCCAGCCTCTATTGGACTTCTGTTCGTTTTCTCTACTCATTGGGTTCACATCAGAGAAAGGTATGAGGCTTTTTTTGTTTTGTTTTTTGGAGACAGGGTCTCACTCTGTTGCCTAGGCTGGAGTGCAGTTGTGCGATCTCAGCTTACTGCAACCTTAGCCTCCCAGGTAGCTGGGATTATAGGTGCATGCCATCACTGCCTGGCTAATTTTTGTATTTTTAGTAGAGACAAGGTTTCACCACATTGGCCAAGCTGGTCTTGAACTCCTGACCTCAGTGATCCACCCCCTTCAGCATCCCAAAATGCTGGGATTACAGGTGTGAGCCACCACGTCTGGCCCGGTATGAGTTTTGAGAAGGGTTCAGAAAAGGTGGTTTGTTGGGAGGTGATCTTGCTTCTTTTTGATCAGGAAGTTGGAGACTGATTTCTTTCCACAGACACTTCTGCAGGTCAGTTACCAAACTGCAGAAGTCACAAGAAGATCTATAGTATTATACCCACGTTACTGTTTCCTTTACGTCGACTCATTTTTTTTATGTAAAGGAAAACTTGGGAAGTTTTGTATTCCTAGTTTGGTGTGTTCATTGTGTTTTCATATTTCATAAATAATAGCAAAATAATAAATGTTCAGTACCTCATAAAACCATTTCTGTTCCCGCATTACACTTTGAGAAGTGGTGCTGCAGATGGAGGATGGAGGAGTTGGGGGGCAGTCATTCTGAGAGAGCTCTGGCCCCTTTGGCTGAGAGAGACAATATGCCTTTCCCAGGTGCGGCTCTATGAGTGGACAACAGAGAAGGAGCTGCGCACTGAGTGCAACCACTACAACAACATCATGGCGCTCTACCTGAAGACCAAGGGCGACTTCATCCTGGTGGGCGACCTCATGCGCTCAGTGCTGCTGCTCGCCTATAAGCCCATGGAAGGAAACTTTGAAGAGGTGATGGTGGGGACGGAATGCTAGCAGACTTCTTGCTTGAGCCACAGCTCCTGCAAGTGTCTCTGGTGGGGAAAGATAATCCAGCCCAGTATGAGGGGCAGAAATGTTTTCCCTGGAACAGACATTCTACATTGATGAAGTATTTTTAGAGACTCCCAACTCAAACTCTGAGTAGGCTCCATCTCTGGGGCAATTGGCAACCAAAAGGGCTACCTTGGCAGAGAGGTCAAGGGAGAATCCCTCTGGGTGACACTTGTTAAACACAGGGCTACATGTTCTGCAGGGTGGGGCCTTGCTCCTGAATAAAGGAAACACAAGTCCCAGAACTGAATTCCACACAAACTGCTGATTGTGTTTTCTTGTTTCACCTTGTCTGTTTTAAGATTGCTCGAGACTTCAATCCCAACTGGATGAGTGCTGTGGAAATCTTGGATGATGACAATTTTCTGGGGGCCGAAAATGCCTTTAACTTGTTTGTGTGTCAAAAGGACAGGTGAGTAGTGGCCAGCTCTGGGAGTGGTGGGGAGAGATGGGAGCTCCTGAGTCTCCGGTGGATGCAAGCATTGGGTTCTATGTCAGATTCAGGTGGTTCTCTTTACAGAGACAGAACTTTGCTCATGAGAGAATAAAAGGTCCCAGAAATCCACCTCTTTAGACTGGCTTCCCTACTGTGGAGTATGTCAGCTCCCAGGGAAGTTCAGCACTGTGTCCACTGCACATGGTCCTGTCTCAGGGCCTGTGTGGAAACAGGAGGTTTAGGAAGTGACTTTCTCACCACTTTTCAGCGCTGCCACCACTGACGAGGAGCGGCAGCACCTCCAGGAGGTTGGTCTTTTCCACCTGGGCGAGTTTGTCAATGTCTTTTGCCATGGCTCTCTGGTAATGCAGAATCTGGGTGAGACTTCCACCCCCACACAAGGCTCGGTGCTCTTCGGCACGGTCAACGGCATGATAGGTAAGGTCAACCCCTGCAGGGCACACCCCCACACAGGCCTCCTTCCTGAAACCACCATTCTGAGGGACTGGGGAAAGCAACTGGACAAGACCTAGGCATTTAGTAGAGGAGGCTGCAGCACATTAGCCCTCCCCATGCTGCTCACCTGGGCTGCCCTTTATGTAGACGATACATGCTGTGGGGTTGAGCTCTCTGCAGCTCACTGCCTCCTTCACTTCTTCAGGGCTGGTTACCTCACTGTCAGAGAGCTGGTACAACCTCCTGTTGGACATGCAGAATCGACTCAATAAAGTCATCAAAAGTGTGGGCAAGATTGAGCACTCCTTATATCCTTTTCAGAGCCATCTGCTTGCTTGAAAGCACATCCTGGCATATGTGGCACACATAGTCACATTACCCGGAAGCTGTTAATGTGTCTGGGTTAGGTTCCTATACGGAATAGATTTTTTGTTTTGTTTTGTTTTTGACTTTTTCACGTGGAAAATTTCAAACACACACAATAGAGAGAATAGTATACTGACTCCCAAAGAAAGTACTTTATCACCCAGCTTTTGCTGGTCCATCTTGGAAATGTACATTTGTATTCCTGAAATGTGTCCACCTCTGGCCTTCTTGCTGTAGAACACCAAATGTAAGTTTAGATTACAAAACAGGCGCACATCCTTTCAGGGATCTTGTTGAGGGCAGCAGTGTCTGAGACTAGAGAGACTACCAGAAGAAGGTGAAAGGTGAAGAAGTGGAAAATGCCGAAGCTCAAGAGTCAACCACCCTGGGACCCTCAGAACCCAAGTGCTATTGGAAATTTGTTTAGTAAAGAGATATAAAGGGCTCTCCCCGCCCCTGCTGGAGGTGGGAGGAGCTCCTGCCTGTGACTCTGGCAGCCAAGGAGGGCTGATGGGGTGATTTCTGTTTTTTGGCTGACTAGCAAGACTTCACAGTCCTGTCTCACCGAGTCTCAGTTTATTTATTTACAGAGCTGCTGCTTTTCTTCACCTTTTTTTTTTTTTTTTTTTTTTTTTTTTTTTTTTTTTTTTT